ATTCAAGATAATTAAAACCAAAATATTTGAGAGAATAGCCAAATTCTCCCAGCCGAAATGCTACAAGGATCATTACAGGATCGTATAATAAGGCTGCAAGGCTAATTTCTCTCTCGGAATCCAAAAGATGTCACAAGTAACACTTACCATTGATCAGTTATTATCGAACAATTTTTCTATAGATAATATCGTTATCGAACAATTTTTCTATGAAAAAGGTTGCTATCGAACAATTGTTTTATAAAAAGTTGTTATCGAAAAGTTTTTCTATAGAAAATATGTCACACAATATGTCTATACAGAAAGTTGTATCAAAATGTTTTTCTATAGAAAAAAATGTCATCAAAATTCTACGAAAAAGTTGTTGTCGAACAGCTTTTCTATAGAAAAAGTTGTTATCGAACAGTTTTTCTGTAGAAAAATTTGTTATCTAAAATGTTTTCTATGGAAAAAGTTGTTATCGAAAACTCTTTTATAGAAAAAGCTGTTATCGAACCATACTTCTACATATTCACTGTAATTGAAAGAGAGATACTAGCCAAAAAGGAAGTTCACATTATACCGACACTAACATCACGTATTGTCATATAAGGCCATTATAAAGAATATTGAGAAAAAAAACATGCTTAGTAAGGGCACCTGACAAGAGTAGATTCTACGTGGATTTCCGGTCACAGATATATTGTCGGCATTAAAAAACGGCCAGAGAAACATCAGAATCATTTTCTAGTGTAATTTTTACAAGGAACATCTTCACTCTAAATTTAAAAAAAGGAAAGACCAGAGAGGGCATAGTTCAGACTTGGGCTATAGTGTACCTGACCACAAATTAAATGTGTTTTATTGGGTTCCAGAACATTGTAGTATAGTAGGGAATGAAGTGGCTGATAATTTAGCCCGAGGCGGATCCCAGTCGATTGATACACTCATTGATGGAACTGCTAAACCACCAATAAGCTATTAGGTAAGCTGCTTCAAAAAATCAATCAAAAAGAAGATGACACTTGGAAACCGGTTGTAGGGTATCTAAGGCCATCTGGTCGGTAATCTCGAGGAGAAGAACAAGGTCTGATCCTAAAATCATAGTGGACATACCGACTGGTCACTGCAATATAAGATAATTGACCTCAAGATGGGACAGTAGTTTTCCTGAATTTGTAGACTATGTGAAGTTGAAGAAGAGGTTGAGACGGCAGGTGGGAGATAGAAATTCTAACATTCTTCTCAAACATAGATCCCATCATAATTTCTAAATTTGCCAAAGTCATTCCCTGGTTAGACCACTCTACTAACTAAACCGATCTCTATAAATCGTTTCTTCTCCTTCTGGCTTCTACATCTATCCTATCCCCAAATTTCCATTTTTTCCTAGAATGTACACAATTACAAAAGGAGTGAAGCTGTTGGCGAATTCGTGTAGCTGTACATCCTTATGCAAAACCATGCCACTCAAGCAGAACTTTTCTGAGTTACTATTGTCGACGAATTGACTGATTTAGCCAAATATGTCGTAAAATGTTGTCCTCCTAAAATTGCTATCACACGGTCCATAGAACTGTCTTCAAGATTGTTTATTTGTAAATGCGTTACCAAATATAAATTTTTCCAAAGATTTTTTGTGAATTTAAAGATACCGGGTAAACTTACGTTCAATGTTTTTGTAGTCAAGTTCAGTTTTTACAAGAAAGAACATTTTAAATTTGGAAGTATATGGATACTTCATAGCTTCAGACAGAAAATATCTGTTATACCAATACTTACAAAATTAAAAAAAAAATAAATGAATTAAGAAAAACTGCTATAATAAATAGGAGCTGTAACAGGACGTTAAGTTGGAAAATGAAAAAAACAAGTTTCGGACATCCCTCTTCGATAAGTGGTTGAATTTCAATACTAATTATTTTCCATTTTTTAAGATGCCAACACTACTAACTTCATTTCTGAAAATTTCGAAATTAATTAGTAGAAATTAAATAAAAAAATATTCATTCTCCCCTTATAATACAAACATTTGTATAGACATTGTCAAAATAGATTCTTTAAAAATATAAATACTGCATAATTAATTATTCTTCCCTTATTATTCTTTTAGACAATTTCGTTTTGTGTTTTTTTTTTTTTTTTCATCTAGAGTTCCTTTCTTCAATTTTTTTCATTTCCCTTATTTTAATTTAGCGTTTTCAAATATGTTGTCACTAATTGGAGTTTCTATTGTTATGGCTGTTTCTGTTATATTTTTTGTCACTTGATGGTCTATTTTTTTCTTTTGTAATGAATTTCTAAATTTAGTACGGTTTTATGTTTGTCTTAAATATATATAAATATTATTTATACAGTTTCTCTTTAATTTGTTAATTTTGTAATCACACCACAGCTGCTGTTTGAAAATTATACATGTTATATTATGAAGGAAAAAAATCTATTGAAATCTGTATTTGTAATAGGATTCAAAGTAGATGGCAAGGGTGGTAAACGTTGAAGTGTTGTGAAATAGATAGAAAAAATATCTTAATGGTCAAATATTTCAGACGTATAAAAAAATATTAGACTGTGTAGCGTTTGTGTAATGACATAACTCGTAGGTCACAGGACTCGCTTCCTAATTTTAGAAATATATCCCAGGAAAGAATAGTCAACGAAGTGTGGGGCGTCTGTGTAATGGCATAACTCATACGACAATGGCTCGCTCATAAGGGAAATTTAGTTTATAAATGAATACCTTTTTTAAGAACTTTGTTTAAAATTTGTCATGTTTTACTCTAAATTGAAATTTATTTTGTAAATATATGTAATATATATATTTGCAGTGTTATATTAGGTTTGTAATTTAATGCAAAATTCAGCTGAAGTCTATAAAATTGTAGCAAATTAAAATTTTTATAAACAAGTTAAACTGATAGAGGGATTTAGGTTTTTCGATTGGAATGCTCTCAATTTATAACCCCGTTCCAGTAAATTTTTATAGTAGAATTCACAATCTGGCCGCCTATTGTTATTCTGGAGGTTCGAGTACTTTTTATACGACTGTGTGCATATGGAAATTTTATTTGGGCTGCATCAAAACATGATCTTATATTAACAAGTCTTGTTTCAGAGATTTAGAATTCAGATAGGTTCAAACATGCCAAATTATAAATAATTAGGTTGTAAATTTGACAATTTGGTGGAAATATATATATATATATATATATATATATATATATATATATATATATATATATATATATATATATATATTAATTTTCAATTAAAGCACGAATTATAGTGAACCTCCATCGTCTAAGGAACTATGTTCAATACATTATTTTTGTAACTAACAGAAAGTCATCTGGCCGAAAATCTATATGCACAAATTAAAAAAAAAAAAAACCGCTTAAATGAAAACCCTTATGTGGGGATATACCAAGACATTGACCCGCTTGTACTGTAGTGCCGATTTGAAACGATTCCGGCGAATAAATTCGCTAATATCATCAAAATACCGAATAAAGGGAATTACCGTTATATGTAGGCTATGTGAAGACATGGACCTGCAAAGACAATTTTCTGTCTTAGACTGTAGTATCCATAACGAACTTCATACCAAATTTGAAACAATTCCGGTCAATAACGTCGCTAAAATCATCAAAATACCGAGTATCGGGATGTGCCGTTATATGGGGCTATACGAAGTCGTGGACCTGCACGAAAAATTGTCTGTCATAGGCTGTAGAACCCATTATGAAAAAAATAATCAAATAAGAAATTTGAAACAATTCCGCTGTATAAAATCTCTAATAACATAAGAATACCTAATATTTTGAGGTATCGTTATATAGGGGGCTATACGAAGACGTGGACCTGCATGAATAATTTTTTGTCATAGGTTGTAGTACTTATTAACACAATACCCTTAGACAATGGGGCTAATATCATAAAAATGTCGAATATTGGGAGATACCGTTATATGGGGGCTCAGCCTGCCTACTAGCAAAATACACATGTGTGCAACTCGTTCGAAAGTTAGCGTGATCACAACAGACAGACAACAACACAGACAGACGGACATCGCTAAATCGACTTAGAATTTTTATGAAGAATTTGTTGGGTCTGTAATGAGTATTTCGAGGCTAGGCTTAAAAGCCAACACTCAATACATTTAGCCCTAGCCTTTCATTGCTGCTGCTATATAATTTTTGCGGCCACGGCTGAAGTTCCACATGATCAGCTTTTAAGCTCAGGCAGATGCTATTTAGCTCGTTTTTGACATGCCAGCTTTTTTCGTTTAGACCCAAAAAAAAAAAAAAAAAAAATAGCAACACTGAACTCAAAAAAATTAATATTTGTTTTTGTTGGCTAAAAACCGAGCTAAGCAGCAGCAGCCGTTCTGCTTTTTGGAGCTGGCCTATTTTGATGTCAAGGCGAATTTCATTCTAGATTCAGCCGCTCACATAGAATTAGCTTTCCCGGCTTTTTTTTTTTTTTTTTTTTTGAATGTGTTGCTATTTATTGGCGTAGCTCATTAAAGGGCAACCTTTTTTGAAGAATTTTTAGCAGGCACGTTAAAAAAATTTCGGTGGTATTGCATTTTAAACCCTGTGTCGAGGAGTTGCAAACCGTGAAGGGCATAATAAAATATATCGGCATCCTATGCGTATGAGTGTTATATTTTGTCGACATTATTTATACGCAGGGCAGTCAAAGTTTTTAAACTAGCTTTGATTAGAAAAGGTTTAGTTTTTTATAATCAATATCGGGAAATGCCTGGCTTATGGAAACAATCTACCAAAAATAATTAAAAAAAAAAAAATACTCGCAACATCCTTGCTTCCTTTGCCAATTCTGAGAATGCAAAGAGAGGTCAGACAAAAGACTTCGAAAAAATATTGGTTTGTTAATTTTCAATATTCAACACTTCAGCATTTACCAACTTCACCATGGGTGTTTTGCAAAATATTTATTTTTTCTCACATATTTTTTTCTCTCAATATTTAACATTTAATTATTATTTTCTTTTCCAAAACTCAGCCATAAAATATATGGATAGCTTTTCTTTTTTGAAGGAATTTTTCTGTAGCCGCTCACTCAGTATATCAACTTCCTTAACATTTTCGAATAGTTTCGTTCTCTTATTAAATATAGTCATTATTATTTGTTTGTTGTCAACTAAACTAAAAAAAAACATTAATACTATGCTCAAAAAATAATACCTTAAAATACTAATAGTATTTTCTTTTTTTATCTCAATATGCTTTCGCCGTTTTCAATACTCTTTCTTTAACATTCCATCCACAATAATTTGCATGCTCAAAAAATATTTCTTTCTTTATCCGGAGGATTTTTTTTGCAGTTATACCTCGTTTTCATCTCTCATTTCATCACATTTAAGTTTAACAAGTTAATTTCTGAACTGATATTCAGCATTTTTTTTTTTTTGGTTTTTTTCATTTAATTTTAAACTTAAATTTTATATTGGCTTTTTTAACAATTTCCTTACTTACGTTTTTTGGTTTTTGTTTAGTTTGTTTCTTTTTGCGCTTCTAGTTTTCTTCCATTAATTTGTTTTGGTTTTTTGTTTTGTTTTGGTAATTTGCTACATCTGTATTTAAGCCTATGGATTTATGCAGTTTTTGTTTTTTGGTTTTTATAAAGAATTTCATAATTTTTCTGCTGCTGCTGTTGTTGTTGCTGCTGATTCTGTTTCTGCTGCGGCCACTGCTGCAGTTTGTGTCATTTTTTGTAGTTTTTCTTTTTAAGAAATTTATTGACCACTTTACGAAATAGATTCGGTTTTATTCATAAGTACCCGAGTGTAGCATAGGTCTTGGTAAAGGTACCATCACTGGTCGTCACATTCCTGTAAAGATAAACCATACTATATTTTTATATATTTGAAATTAGATTGTCTATTGGACGGTTTGAGTCAATGGTGGCGGATGGTAATTACAAGCGGATGCTACAAAAGAATATAATTAACAAGTTAAATAATAAAAATTATTATTGATTAACGTTTATTAAGATTATGCATCTAATTTAAAAATGTTCAAAAATCACGGGAAAACCTCAGTAGATTGTGAAAGTATAGCTAACTAATAAAAAAACATTAAGTTTGGCTGAACTTTTAATACCCCCAACCTAAGACACATTCGTGGGAAAATGTGGCAAAAATCATCAAAATACTGAATATCGGGAGGTACCGCTATAAAGAGCTATAAAAAACACGTGGACCTATACACACAATATTTCGCCAACGGAGCTATAACCTACTATGACTACCTAATTCCAATTGTTAGACAAATCCGTGAAAAAATGTGGCAAAAATCATCAAAATACCGAATATCGGGAGGTACCGTTATATGGGGGCTATACCAAAACGTTTACCTATACATACAATGTTTCGCCACCGGAGCTAGAACCCATTATGAGCAACAAATACCAATTCTCAGACAAACCCGTGAAAAAATGTGGCAACAATCATCAAAATACCGAATATCGGGAGGTACCTTTATATGGGGGCTCTAGGAAGACGTGGACCTATACATAAAATGTTTCGCCACCGGGGCTAGAATCCATTATGAACTTCAAATGCCAATTCTCAGACAAATCCATGAAAAAATGAGGCAAAAATCGTCAAAATACCGAATATCGGGAGGTACCGTTATGTGGGGATTATACCAAAACGTGGACCGATATATGTCATTTTCAATACCAACCATCCTCGACACAATACAAATTATTCCTATAAATTTTGACGCCCTACGTCAAATAATGTGGCTTATATCGTGATTTCAAAAGACGGATAGATAGACAGACGGACATCTTTAAATCGACTTAGAATGTTATGCTGACTATGAATACATATACATGATCCCATATACATGATCCATTTCCGCACCTGACATAGAACTGAAGCAAATATTAGGAGTTTAAAAGTTAAAAGTCGAATTATCGTTTCTCTTTCTGTGCAAAAAATATTTGTTTGAAAAAATTTCGACCTTTTGTGGGGGAGGAGCGCACCGATATAATCCATTTTCACGCCAGACCTTGGTTTAATGAAATTATTGGGATATGTGAATTTTGAAGAAAATCGGACTCTTACATCATATTTTATAAGAGTTGTAATTATTCAAAATGTTGACCCTTATAAAATGTGATTTAAGAATCCGATTGTCTTAAATCATCATCCCAATATTTTTATAACTCTAAGATCTGGTGTTAAGATGGTACATATCGGTCCACTCCTTGTTGTACCTCCCCAAAAAAGGTCAAAATTTTGAATATCCATTGAGCTCATAAAACGCGAAATTAATATCCGATTCCATTTAGACTTGGCACATCTGAATATTTCTATCAAAACAGGATCTGTTATGAAAACGGTAGAGATCGGTCCTTTTCTTCTGCTAACTTCGCCACAAAGGCTGAAAATTTTAAATATCTTCATAGATATTTAAAATATCCAGCCTTAAATAAAAAGCGAAATTAACATCCGATTCCATTCAAGACTTGGTATATATCAGTATTTTCATCAACACAAAATCTGTTATAAAGATGGTAAAGATCGGACCATTTTTTGCTACCTCCCATAGAGTTCAAGGTTATGAAAAACAAAACGATCAAAGAAAACGAAATAACCATTCAACTTAAAATTTAACACATACAAACATTTACGCTAATACAATGTGTGTTGTGCAGATGATGTACATATTTGAACCCCTTCTGGTACCTCACTCACAAAGGGTCACAATATTCAACACTATTATCAATATTGGCACATTCCTTCGGAACTAACTCCATAGGGGACTAAACATTTGAATAATCATAAGAAGTCAAAATATTTTTAAAAAATCGTATATTGGCTGAGGGCATACTTCTGTCGACAAAGCCGACAGATACTGATTAACTTGTGTTTGCTTTCATTGAATAAAATTAAAAAAAAGTAAAAATTGTGGTATATGACTCTGTTGCAGTTTTTTTATCTCACCCTGTATATGCAAAATATAATACTTTTTTTTAATAATTCTTATGCCATACAAACCGAAAATCTTTAAAAATACTGATAAAGAATAAGTTTCAAAAATGCAAAAAAGTCCAACAAATCTATAAAAGCCTCAACTTCTACTGCATCTATTACTACTTCTACAACTGTTCCTCCACACATTGAAAAAAAACGAAAGCAAACTGGCATTCTAGGTACAAAACACAGCTGATACTCACTCATCTTCCCAGGGGCATACTGTGGTTAGATCCGCTTCCGGTTTGGCACTACTTGTTTCTTTGACCACTGTGGCGGTGGCAACGGCCGATGAGGTGGTCGCCTTCTCTTTTTCCTTTTCCTCTCCCGAAATGGATTTCTTGGCATCGAGATGACGTTTCTTGCGCTTCTTACGGGCCTCTTCGGCTGTGGTTTTCACAACATTGCTATGTGGAAGTTTGGATGTTTTTTCAGCGACCGGAGTGGTGGTGGTGGTGGTTGTGGCGGTCTCTTTGGGTTTCAATTCTTCACTAAACTCCTCATCAACCGTATCGGTGTCCATTTCGGCCAGCGGTGCCATTGAAGGAGCTGGGGTGGGTGCCGGTGGTATATAACCCACTGTCGACTCGGTATCGGCAATATCAAAATCATTTTTACCATCATCACCGAATTCGAGACCTTCTTGATATTCATCGGTGGTAGGGGAAAGTTCTTCGGTTGGTGATGTTGGTGGAAGCTCTTCTTGTGTTGGTGGTTGGGGTTGCGGTTGTTCCGGCTGTTCTTGTTGCATGGGTGAACTGGTTTCATTGCCAGCTTCCTGAGTCTCTGGAGCAATTTCTTTTTCTGGACTATGTTTGGCCGAAGCAGCAGGACTCTTTTCTTTAACTTGATCACTCGACATTTCTTCGGCCATTTCCGTATCTCCAGCTGGAAATTCGTTAGTTGCCTCTTGGGGAGATTTATTTCCCTCTTTATGCCCAGCTCTGTCTTCATCATCGTCATCAACCTGAATGGTGGGTGGTGACATTTCCAAACACTCCTGACTCTCACATAGTTTCTCATAACCCTCTGACGATTCAATTAACTCGATTTGTACCTCTTGGATCTCAGAGTCGACTTCGGCCTCAAATTCTGCTTCATTGCCAGCAGAACGCTCTTCGGGCTCATTGCCATGTAGTGAGTCGCTGGGCGAACTTTCACGAGGACTCTCCTCGGCCTGGGTTTGGGTCTCGGCACTAACTAATGCCGTGGGTTCTTCGGCTGTTTCTGGCGGTGGTGTTACCTTTGTCACCGGTGGTGGTGGAGGTGTGGGTGTTGGATTTGGTGTCGGCAGTACAGCAGAACCCGATGACTCACTGTTACGCTCCGAAATCGTTAATTTATTCAATTCCTCTTCCACTTCAGCATCGGAGGATGAAGGTGGATCTTTGGTTACAACAGCAGTGGCAGCAAAGTGCGGACCCTGTATCGGGGCAAAGAGAGCTGAAATATTACCCTGTTGCAATGTCACCGTTGGCGATGGTGTTGTGGAAATTTTGGCACCCGTGGACGGTCGTCCTGTAGGAAATTCTGAAATGCGGCTGTGGAAAGAAAGGGAGGGGGATTTGCATTAAACGAGGTGAGAGATTTTCAAATGTTTTTTCTTACCTCGGTGTAAAGGACACTGATGCTCTTCGTTGTTCGGTGAAATTTGGTAGTAAACGTTTCATGCCCGATGTCTCACCGCTATCGACAGTATTTTGATGACGTATGCCCAGATTGCGCTGCAATCTATCGGCAACTTCGGTATTATCCGAAGAGGTGCTGTTTTTATTTTTCAAATAAATAAAAATTGAAAAACTAATTTTTGTTTTTAAAAATATTTTCAATATTCTCCGCCTACCTTGTTAATCTTTGTGCGCTTGTTTTTATGGCTGGTAGTTGTGCTGCTGCTGACGTTGCGGCGGCGGGTGTGACTGCGGCCGGCTCTTCCTCCTGCTCCCATGGACATACGGACAATTGAACTGGAGTTGTGGAGGCTGCTGGTACAGCAGCTGGCACTGGTTTGGGCGCTTGTGTTGTGGGTGGTTCATCCGGTTCATCCCATGGACATACCGCACTACTACCACCACCAACCTCCACAGTGGTCTCCAAGCGTCCCGCTTTCCCTTTGGGTGTGTCTCTGTACAAAGCAAAAGTTAAGAGGAAATATTAATTCATCAGTATGCTGAATGTTCGATTCGAACATTTAGTTGTGGTGTTTGAACATCGATTACAACATTTAGATGAGAGAGAAAATTCAATGCTGTATTGATTTTTTTGTGCAATTATTTGCCAAGTCATAGTGAATTCGGAACAAAAAGCTAAAAAAAAGTATCAGTCGGTTTTGCCGACAAATGTATATACTCAGTCTGACGATATGATTGTCCAAACTGTTGACCCTTTATATAAATATAGGTATGTGCAAAATTTTAAAAAAAATCGAATATTTATTTCCAATTTTATGATAATAATCAGACATATTCATATCAGATCTTTGGTTGAGAAAAATATTTAGGCATACCTAGTTTGAAAAGAATCGTGGACTTGTGTCACAAGGTATTAGTTATGTAAGTATTGAAAATGGCGACCCATTCCAGGGGAGGTACCAAAAGGTGTTGGGCAAAATATATCATATTCGCACCAGATCTTTTGTTAATAAAAATATTGGGATATTCTTAATTTGAAGAGAATCGGGTGCTTATTTTGCATTTTATAAGTGATGAAATTATTCAAAATTTTGACCCCTATGTCGAGAAGGTACCAGTAGGACACATCTCTTCTTTACATCAAATTTTTTATTGGTAAAAATGTTGAGATGACCAAAACTCTAAACCCTTATTTCACATTTTATAGGAGTTAAAATTATTCAAAATTTTTACCCTTTGTGCGGAAGGTACTTCATGGAGTGAATCGATATTGTCAATTTTCACATCTGACCCAGCACTGATACGAATATTGATATTTGCAAAATTTAAACAAAATAGGATGACCCTTCCTTGTTCTATAAGGTAAATTAGGTACCAGAAGTTGGGACCGATATGGAAGATGGGCAACTCCGAATTCGATCTAAGTAGGATAATAACAATGTGCGACAAATTTCAATTTTTTCAATAATTACGGAGATTATGAAAGTAAAGCAAATACAAGGCAGTAAAGAAAGTCTTAAAGTCGGGCGGGCCGACTTTATGATACCTTTCACCACTTCGCTAATTTAGTAGAGCTCCGCATAACAATTAAAAGTTTTTAGGGGAGAATTCAATCATACACGCTATGATTATAATTATATTTTAAAGTTCAAAGGACTAAATATTCCGAAGCATCTGCATATTTTAAATTCGGACTTGTATTGCCCATTTGGTGCACAATTAATTTGAAATCGACAATGATATATATGGGAGCTATATCCAAATCGAAACCGATCTCGATAAAATTTGGCAAAGATATTTCTGAGCTGTATTTGATATATTTCCCTGAATATCGTTGTTACGGAGTGCATATTACGGCTGTGGGTAACAAATATAATAAATCGGATGAACAGTATATATGGGAGCTATAGCTATATCTGAACCGATCTTCACCAAATTTGACATACTAGCTTCTAGACTAAATTCGGTCGTAAGTGCCAAATTCCATCCAATTTGTGCTAATATCAGACGTTTGGTGCACAATAAAAGGTAAATCGGACGAAGTTACATATGGGAGCTGTATCCGAATCTGAACCGATCTCGATAAAATTTAGCAAAGGTATTTCTGAGCTGTATTTGATATATTTCCCCAAATATTTGTTGTTACAGAGTGAATATTACGGCTATGGAGGACAATAATAACATATCGGACTGTACTTTGTTTACAAAAATACATGGACAGACGGACTGGCATGCATAAATCGACTCAGAATGTGATTCTATGCAGATCATCAAAAGGAACTATGGGTCTATCTCGTTTCCTTTTGCCTGTTACAAACAAATGCACAAAGACCACCTTGTGGTGTAGGGTATAAATATGTGGGATATTTTTATCTGACATTTTGTCAATCAGAAAAAATATTTTTGGTTCTTTTTTTGGCCCCCTTAAACGGGATCATAGCTAGTCAAAATATATTACTAAATTATTTTTCATACAATTCTACAATAGGTCCTAGAAGACGTCGAAAGTCTAAATCTTACCTAAACGCCAAAATTATATATGAAAAATACATTTTAGGGTTAAGGCCATAATTTGTGTGAAATTGTGCAAAAATCTCCAACAAAGCATAATTATACAAGGATGACGTCAAAGATAAAAATATTCCTCGTCAAATGTTCCTGTAAGTTACCGGAGGAAAAAAAATCTCTATTTTTATTGTACTCGTATGTCGGCGTTTTGAAAGTTTATATCGAAAAGAAACTTAAACAAATTAGAAAGTATCAGTCGGTTTTGTCGAGGGGTGGTGTATAACCTCAGCCAATATCCATTTATTAAATAAATTTTGACTTGGGATAGCACAAGAAGGAGTGGGCTAATATTTTTCATTTCGTATTTGACATAAATCTGATATAAATATTACAACGTGCCAGATTTGGACTATTTTTTTATTTTCAATTCAAAACTCTGATTGAGAGAAATATTTAGATACTCTAAAAATCTCTGACTTCGTATGTGAAATATACTTATTGAAAATTGTGACCGTTTGTGGGGGAGGTACCAAAAAGTGGTGGGCCTATTTGCTTTATGCATTTGTTTTTTTTTTTCGCTTGAAGAAAATTGGAGGCTTATTTCGCATTTTATTTAACCTTTTTGGGTGAGGTACCAGAAGGAGTGGGCCGATATCTGCCATCTTCACAACAGATCTTGCGTTGATAGAAATATTGAGATATGACTATTTTGAAAGGAATCGGATGCTTATTTCGCATTTTATTATCGTTATGGATATTCAAAACTGTTATTCAAAATGTTGACCGTTTGTGGGGGAGGTACCAGAAGGAGTGGGCCGAAATCTGCCATATTCACAACAGTTTTTGCGTTGATAAACATGTTTAGATGTGCCGAACTTGAAGGGAATCTGATGTTAATTTAGCGTTGTACTAGCTTTATCGCTATTCAAAACTTTGACCCGTTGGAGGAGAGGTACCAAAAAGAGTGGACCGATCACCAGATCTGGTATTAATAAAAATATAAAGATGTGTGAAATTTGAAGGCAACCGGATGGTTATTTCGTTTTTATAATAGTTACATTTATTCAAAATTTTGACCCTTTTGTGGGGAGGTACTTGAAAAAGGCTGCAAGCTCGGCGGGGCCGAAATTTGAATACCCTCCACCATTTGGAACAAATTTGCCAATTTTCCAAAAAATAAAATTCGTTAAAGCTTCTGTTAAAATCATAAAAATACCTAATGTAGCCGTTACATTAGGGTCTATACGACGACTTGGACCTGCAAAGGCAACTTTTGTCATTAGCCATTACAATATTCAAATGTGAAACTTGCGAAAAAAAATCCATTACGAACTTCCAATGCCTATTTTGAAACATTTCCGTTGAATAATGTCGCTTAAATCATCCAAATACCGAAAATAGGGAGGAGATTTTGAAAATCATCAAAATACTGCATATCGGAAGGAACTGTTATATGGGGGCTATACGAAGGCGTTGACCTGCACAGACATTTTCTGCCTTAGGCTGTAGTATCCATAACGAATTTTAAATACCAAATTTGAAATAATTCGGATGAATAATGTCGCTTAAGTCATCAACATATCGCATATCGGGAGGTACTGTTATATGGGGCCTATACGAAGGCGTGGACCTGCACGGATGATTTTCAGTCATGGGCTGTAGTATCCATTACGAACTTTAAATACCAAATTTGAGAAAATTCCGGTGAACAATGTCAATAAAATCATCAAAATACAGAATATCGGGAGGTGCAGTTAATGGGGGGTATACGAATACGTGGACCAGCACAGACAATTTTCTGTCTTATGCTGTAGTATCCTCTACGAACTTCAAATACTAAATTTGAAACAATTCCGGTGAATAATGCCGCTTAAATCACCAAAATACCCAAAATTAGGGAGGTTCCATTATATGGGGGCTATACGAAATTTTGGACCTGCACAGAAAATTTTCTGTCTTAGGCTGTAGTATCCATTACAAACTTTAAATACCAAATTTGAAACAATTCGGATGAATAATATCGCAGAAATCATAAAAATACGGTATATCGGGAGGTGCAGCTATTTATGTACGAAGACGGGGAGCTGCAGAGACAATTTTATGTCGCAGGATGTAGTATCCTTTGCGAACTTCAAATACTAAATTTGAAACATTTACGGTGAATAATGTCGTTTAAATCATCAAAATACCGAATATCGGGAGGTTCTATTATATGGGGGCTATATGAAGGCGTGGAGCTGCACAGACAATTTTCTGTCATAGGCTGTAGTGTTCTCTACGAACTTCAACTTCAGATGAATAATATCGCTAAAATCATCAAAATACCGCATATCGGGAGGTGCCGTTTTATAGGGGCTATACGAGGACGTGGTCCTAGACAGACAATTTTTTGTCTTGGGCTCTAATATCCATTACGAACTTCAAATACCAAATTTGAAACATTTACGGTAAATAATGTCGCTTAAATCACCAAAATAGTACCATTGTATGGAGGCTATGCCAAAACGTGGGCCTACATGGTCCATGAGTGCTGCAGATATAATATACATTTGAGTAAAATTTTATCAACCTACTTCATTTCGTTCGGAAGATAGGGTGATTTCCACAGACGGTCGGAAATCGCTAAATCGACATATAATTTTATGCTGGGGTCTAAAATGTACATTTCGACATGTTACAAACGGAATGGCAAGCTTAATATGCCCTCCATACTAGGGTGGAGGTTAGAAAAAGGACCAAAAAGATGACTTTGTTGACTAGCGGGGGTTTTAACATTTCTGTAGCTGTAATGTTGCCCGGATTCTGTGAAATCTTAATCTGAAATTGCCAAAAGTGCAGAAGAGGGGGGAAATTGCTCCCTCTATATAGATTACTTTGCGATGTCAAATTTCAAATAGCCGATACACATGTCTTCATTTTTTAGCTCTATTTGCATAATATGCTTGATATACCCCATATCTATTAAAAAAATAATAATTTTTTCGTACTGTGTAATCGAGCGATTTTAAATAGTAATTTTATATAACAATTTTATCATGGACCCGAAATATGACAAAAAGGAATCTAGTAAATGTATTTCAGGTACTCTCTTCCAGAATTCTGCATAAATCTACAAGTTTTGAAATCATATAGTAAAAAATGGTTATCGTAGTATTCAAGCAGTTCAGGAACAGACCAAAGTATGTTGTAAGATATACATCATACGATATGTTTTTAGAATATGGTTATCAGTGTGATATCTTCTCAGATCTGGCTGCCAAATTTACTGGGTTAAAAAATTACATAAATAAAAGTCCAATTTACACAGCATTGAATTTTCTTAAACATTTTTACAACAAAAAGTAAATAAAATCGTTTTAGCAAAATATGAGAAATTTTTATAAAAAAAAATTAGAAATAAAAAACATTTACATATATATTTGATTTTTGGAATAAATAAAATGGTAGATTGAAATGGAGAAAGTGATAGAGAGAAAGTGTTGCTATTTTCAGAGAGAGAAAAAAAGAGAGCAGTTTCTGTTGGACGGAGTTTGGTGGCAGCATAGGACAGAGACATTTGTTTTGATTTCATTTTTTTGTTTTTTTTGCTTTACACAACATTGAGAAGAGTACATTTTGAGCACACAACAATAACAACAACAACGATAATTATGAAAAGGGAATTTAACAACAAAAAATGTGAATTTTACAAAATTAGATATTTTTGAGAAAAACAAAAATCATTTGGCCAAAGCAAGGCTTAGTAGAAGGAAAAAAATTTAGAAAAAAATTCCATTTCGGCGAAATCTTACTGATCGTGGTGTTGGTGGTGATGGTGTGTTGTTAGACTAGTTTCGAGATTTCCATATTCCTGGACAAGACGTTGTAATTTTTGCTCGCAATACAAGGTCTCTTGAGAGGTGGGCGGCGGTGGTGGCATGTCACCGCGATAAACACTGTCACTACTGTTGTTGGTCAATTGAATTTGTTGTAGTAGTTTTTGGTGGTGGTGGTAGTGATGGAGGTGGTGTCGCAGAGTATTCATAGGTGTTCGATTATAATGATGGTTTGGTTTTTTGTATTTTTTTATCAAAAAAATTTGGTTTTTTTAATGACAAAATGCAGGGTGAGTGGAAATCAAAAAAAAAAGAAGAACAGAAAAACAACAACAATTAATTTTTTTAATAACAAAATTAAAAAAATGAAAATGAAAATCAGAAAAATACAAACCAATTGGAAAACAAGAGAAAAAAGAACAACCAATCTCATTATGTCAATCCATTGAGAAAAAAGCGCATTATGATTCGATAAAATTATATCGCTGCTTATTAGTATTAGCTAGGTTTTTTTGGGGGGAGGGTCGGGTTACCTACCTGAAGGGTATCTCACTGAGATTACTCTGCGAATGTGAGTGTGGCACCTTGGAGCTGCTATCCTTGTTCACACCCATTACCGCCAGTTCATGGGCCGAACCGCTTAGACTGCGATCACTGCCGCGTCGCCTAGTCAAACTTCCCGGTGGCGGGGCCGTGGACATTATGAACGAATTACCACTGGCAGCCATTGTACTCTTGCTACTGGACTCATTGTTGCCACCCAGATTCGGTTGGCTGGACAAGGCGGCAGTCATTTTCTTTTTGGCACCACTGACACCGCCAAAGTTGAAGAAACGTTTCTTGTGCGAGGGCTGTATGCCCGTCTCCACCAGACGCTTGTAGTGATCGGAACGTATGAATCGAGGATAGCAGTCCTTCTTCAGCAACAGCATATAGATGTGATCCGAGGCGGCATCGAAGGTGAAACGAGAGGGATTCTTGAGGCCCTTCAATACACTCTCCATGGTCTTGCCATCGATGTTGATTTCGCAAGGAGCGCCAGGTTTGAGGAATTCCCTGAAAATGCAAAACATTAACAATAATTCCCCTTTTCTTCCACTCCCCTCCCCCTCTACTCACTCATATATCTCCTGGACTTTACGTGGCACCTGAGAATGGGCAGATCGGCGCAAACGATTCACCGCTATCCAGAAGCGTATATTTTCATGAGAGTATTCTTTTTCCAAAAATGTCGTAAACTCCTGCAGGCCCGTTGGATCCGATACCAACTCCTCAATGGAAATGGCCCAACGTTTTACCCGTTTCTCCGTTGGAATATCAACAAAAGTATTGTTCAACTGCCAGAAGGTGACATCTTCGGTAACCCAAGGATTCGAGGGCAACACAGGTTGCAGGAAAAAATCATAATCGGAAAATGTCTCCGAATAGGCTACCAACGATTCACAGGCCTGAGACATTTTCATACGCGTTCGATTGAGCGATTTCTTCAGATAGTCCACATCCCGCTGCATATCCTCGACGGTTTTCTTTTTATTTTGTTTCGTGCCCTGACGATCCCGCGATGGCACCGGACACGCTTCCAATGGTGTAAATTGTCCCGGTGGTGGACGATGTACCCGCCAATAGGCTCTCTCTTGTGAGTCACCAACAATTTTTTCTCCCTTCTTTCGTTCTTTGGCCAGGCGTACCTGTTCCTCGGCTTGCATTGAAATAATTTCCCATTTTCCTTTGAGATTTTTATGTAACGATGCCAAGGCATCAACTTCGTAATCTTCTAGAGCATGACGTTGTTTGTTGCGCAGCGAACGTTTTACCAAATATATGGCATATTCGACATTGTCCGGAGCCTTGTGTTGCCATGGCCAATAGTAGGGAGTTTGAAAACGATACAACGATGAGTCATCTTTGACGGACAGGGTTTTGGAATCGTTGACAGGAAAAAAGTAGCCATGCAGGCAGAGCTGATTGGCAATGTTCAACGCCTCGGATTCCTCGATTTGCAGGCGATCCATAAGCCATTCAATAAGATCGTAACCTGGTGGGTGTGTGAAGGTGGGGGTGGAATAAAAAGAGAGAGATTTTAATTTGAGAATATTGAAATATTGATAAGGACATCAAAGAATACTTTAAAAGATTTGAAAATGGCATCTAGGCCGCTATATGTTCTGTAACCTGGGATATGATTGGATTTTTTTAAAAGGACAGTCTTAAAACTTACCCATGAAGGCATAAGGAATAGAAGTTAAAAACATCTTCTGCTGCCTAACGGGAACTCCATGATCGGGATCTTGCATTTCACGTACTAGAGCTTCCATCTGAAAATAGAGAAAACAGTTATGTGCCCCATTATGCCGTTGCATTTTTTTAATTTTATTGACTGAAAGCAAAAAATGTCGGAAATAGAATCAAATTTTAGAATGAGTTTAGATTTGTTCGAATTGGTCACCTTTGGCACGAATTATGGCCTTCAAACGGCCATTCCCGGCAAAGCGCTTGCTTGAGGTGTTCGACACTTTGGAATTTTTTAGTGCCAACCTTGCTTTCCAAAATACTCTAGAAACAATAGTCCAACGGATTGGTATCCGGAGATTTTGGTGGCCATGGTGCGCTGGAATTATGGCCTTTGGCACGAATTATGGCCTTCAAACGGCCAATGAAGCTGCCACACGCAGCCCGAATGTTGCTCTACGTTATTTTTGCCCATTCCCGGCGAAGCGCTTGCTTGAGGTGATCGACACTTTGGAATTTTTTAGTGCCAACCTTGCTTTCTAAAATACTCCAGACACACTTGTCCAACGGATTGGTATCCGGAGGAACCTCCTCTTTACCCATTCTTGGTTGGCGCGTGCTGAGTCCTGTTGGAATGTCCAAGGTCTGTGGCCAAAATGTTTGCGTGCCCAAGGCTTTAATACACCCTCCAGAATATTTACGCGACAATATTCGGCATTTATTCTGATGCCACGATCGGTTAATATGAGCGGAGAGCGACCACCGGATGTTATGGCGGCCCACACCATCACCATGGCAGGCGCTTGAGTTCTGGTGGCCAACCGAAGGTGCACATTTCCAGCTGATCTCTTTGGCAAGTAAACACGATCATTTTGTTTGTTTAAACTGTTGGACAACGAATGTTTTCTCATCGGAGCGGAGAAAACAAAATTTGGCAGTTCACCACTTTCGGCCAAGCGAAGCAGCTCTTTTGAGTCTATTTTCTTTCTGTTGCGGTGTAAGTTCTTGGAATTTCAATGGCTTTATCCCGAATTTGTCGGAATATTGAGATATGTTCAGCTCACGAGCCATTTTTCAGCCACTGCGACGCGTGTTTCGATCATGTCGCTTCTTTACTTTTCGAACCATTTCTGCTGATGTTGCTGTTTTCTTCCGTCCACTTCCTTGACGTCGGGCTACGATACCAGTAACACGGTAACGAGCGATGGTATGAGACGCAAATTTTTATTCATATTTAAATGCTGGAGTGCTCCAACGATAGCCACTTGTGGTTGTGGTTTTCCAGCCAAATTTAAGGAGATCACACTATCACGCTTGAATTCCATCACGAATAACTTTTTTTCTGGCAAATTCTCACCAAAATGCTTATGTACGCTTGTAAACAATATAATGAGCTATCACTGGAAAATTTTAACAGCTGTCGGAATAGTGGCTTAGAAATGACAGCAGTCTGAAGTTGGTTGCAGTTTTTTCATCTCTCCATGTATATTCTACACCCCATCTGTGACTCTCGTTCAAAATTTTAGAAATCTTAGTAATTCCTTCTGTCCAATAAAAAGTATTCAATTTCTAATAATTTTCGTACGCCTTTGGTACGAAGTATCAGAGCGGGGTTGTCACATCAATATTTCAATATTTTAAAATTCTGGCTTCAGCCTTTTCGCCTGGGAGATGAAATTTTTTTCCTATGGTCTTTCATAGCTACTACTTGGATTTGTAAATTTTTTCCAAGGACTATTAAGGATATTTATATAATTTTTTATTACGACTTTTAAGATATTAATAAAAATATTATTTTTTAATACCGTGTTACATTTATGCATGGATAGATAACCCTCTAGACAGCTCTTTTACATATTTTCCCTTCTAATCAATGTCGTTGATATTCACATTATTGTCAATCAATACGAAGAAGTGCAGCAAATAATTTGTCTTTTCTGCATTAATTGATTTTTCTTCAAGTCTCTTCTCTTGACTCGTTTTTTATCCTCGACCAGCCATGAGTAGGAATAAAAAAAAAACTAATTGAGGCTTGAGCGAATAGAAAAGGCCTAATTAATGGTAATTGATGGGGAATTGCAATGAGACGTCCAATAAGTCCTTGGACTTATTGCATGGATGTTGTTGAGATATTGAGTTGGACGTTGCCGCATGATGATGATGACGTTGATGTGGTTGTGAAGCATAGGTTTGCATTTTCCTTTGGCTAGGAAATATGTCGCACAACGCCACATTTGCATGTATTACCGCCATCAACCTGAACAGAAGACCGTGGCCAAGCGTGTGTACGTGAGATTTAATTACCATTGATTTTAAGCCAAGACCGGATGTTCTTTTCTATGTGGTGGCAGAGTGGTGGTGGTGCTGCTGCTGACGGTGCTTTATGAATATGCCCCGCAAACATGAATGGCAAATGCCAAGATGTAATGACGCTGATGTTTATTAATTGGTATATAAGTACAAATGGATTATTACGTACGCAGTAGTGTACTCATTCTAAGTTCATTTCACAAACAAATGCTTTTAATTGTCGGACAATTATGGCAGCCCTTCAGCGAGGGCACAATGGATGAAGAAGAAGAAAACGTATGCATGCCAAGATGATATAAATGGAAATTGAAAGCCAAGAATAATAACAATTGTGAATAATAAAATTGTTCAAAGAAATCATGTTTTCTTGATATTATTTTTTTCGATTTTTTCCAAGGACTACCAGAGCTAAAATCGTCGAATTTCAAGGACTATCTTCACATGAGCAAAGTTTTTTCAAGAAAATATTTTTCAAGGACATATGATTCACATGAGACAATTTTTTTCAAGAAAAAGATTTTCAAGGACTATCTGAGCGACAAAAATAAAATTTAGGAAAAAATTCAAGAAAAAAAGCATATCTCCAAGAATTTTCAGGATTTAAAAAAAATATTTTTCCAATTCTTTTAAGAACTATCTGAGCCACAAATTAAAGAAAGAAATCTATATAAAATCTCCAAATAGCAAACTTGAAAAAACTTTTTTTTTCTGTATGTCAAGGACTATTCCTAAATTCCTAAGGGACTTTCTGAAACCTATCAGCCACAAATATGGATTTTTTAAATAGTATTTTTCGTGGACTTTTAGAGTTACGGACGTGGAGTTTTTAAAAAATATTTTCCAAGGATTATTATTTAAATTGTCTTCGAAGAACTATCTGAGTAAAAATGTGAAATTAAAACAAAATCGTCACAATATCTTTTAGTCACAAACTTAATATTAATAATATAATATTAAAAATTATAAACAATATTTTTTCAAGGACTATCAAAGTCACAATGTAGATTTATTTTAAAAAAGATTTTTCAGAGTATTATTTAAGGACTATCAGAGGCAAAAAGTGGATAAAAAATATTTGTGAAGGACTATATGAGCGACAAACCTGGATTAAAAAATATTTTAGGGACTATGTGAGCCACAAACCTAGATAAAAAAATATTTTTAAGAACAATCTAAGGCACAAACGTGGATTTAAAAAAAAAAACAAATTTTTTTTGGAGACTATTATAGGCATAAGAGTGGAATTAAAAAAAAAAATATATATATTTATTAAGGATTATCGATGTCACAAACGTGGATTATTTTAAAGACTATCGATTTTAAAGACTATCGGTGTCACAAGTGTGGATTTAAAAAAAATATAATTTTTAAATACTATCTGTGTCTATCAGTGTTTTAAGGACAATCCTAGCCATAAACTTGGATATTTAAAAAAAATAGTTTTAAGAACTATTTGAGTCGCACTCGTGGAGTTTGAAAGAAAATATATTTTTACGGGCTATCCGAGGCATAAAAGTGAATTTCAAAACAAAAATATTTTTAAATACTATCCGAGCCATAAACGTGGATTTTTAAATAAATATTTTTTAAGGACTATCCGAACCATAAACTTGAATTTTTTAAAGAAATATTTTTAAGGACTATCCGAGCCATAAACTTGGATGTTTTAAAGAAATATTTTTTAAAGACTATCCGAGGCATAAACGTGGATGTTTTAAAGAAATATTTTTTAAAGACTATCCGAGCCATAAACATGGATTTTTTAAAATAATATTTTTAAGGACTATCCGAGCCATAAACGTCAATTTTTTAACATAATATTTTTAAGGACTATCTGAGCCAAAAGCGTGGGTTTTAAAAAATATATATTTTTAAGTACTATCCAAGCCATAAACTTAGATTTAAAAAAGAAATATTTTTTTAAGGACTATCCGAGCCATGAACGTGGATTTAAAAAAAATTAAGGGCTATTCTACCCGTAAACGTATTTTTTTAAGAAGATATTCCTTAAGGACTATTCCAGCCATAAACGTAAATTAAAAAAAAATTAAGAATTTAAAAAAATGATTTTTTAAAAATATATGTTTTAAGGACTATCTGAGCCACAAACGCAGTTTCTGTAAAATAAATGTTTTTTAAGTTAATTTTTTTTAATATTTTTTAAGGACTATCTGAGCCACATACCTGGATTTAAAAAAAAATTAGGAAGATCTGAGTTACAATCGTGAAATTAAAAAAAAAAATTAAGGACTATCTGAACCAAGAATAAATTTTTAATGAATATTCTTTTAAATGCCCGTAGAGATACAACGTGAATTTTTTAAGGATATTTTTTCAAGAACCAAGCATAGATTTTCAATGAATATTCTTTCAAAGACCCCTTGAGCTACGACGCGTATTTTTAAGGATATTTTTCAAGGACTCAATCTAAGCCACAAACTTCTATTTAAGCCATAAACGTGGATTTTAAGGACCATTAGAACTACTACAATATATTTTTTTTTTTTTAAACCTGAGTCACAAACGTAAAGTTTTAAAAGAATTTTTTCAGGGACAAAATGGGAATTTACTTAAGATTATTTTTTCAACGACTACCTGAGTTACTATTTTTAAATATATTTTTCAACGGCCATCTCAGCCACAAACGTTGATTTTCTAAATAATATTTCTTCTAAGACTATCTGAGTTTTTTAAGAATGGATTATTCTAAGCCCCAACGTTGATGATCTAAAGGAATTTTTTGCCAACGACTATCGGAGCCACAAACCAGGATTTCTTTAAAGAAATTTATTTTCAGAGTCACAAATACGAACCTATAAAAGAACATGACCAAGACTAGCATTCCAAGGAAAATGTTTGGAGGTCAAACGTAGCTTTTTTAAGAACCTGGATTTTCAAATTATATTGTTTACAAAATTTCAGAGCTAAGGTTTCAGATTTAAAAAAGAAGAAAAATCATTTTTGATACATAATCTCCTATTTTTTAAGGGTAATAGATGCTTATTTAAAGACTTTTTCCGATGGGTTTCACAAGAGCAATCATGCATTTTTAATAAGTATTTAATAGACGCAACCCAGACTGACTATTGCACAATGAATTTTCCAAAAATTAGGAAATAGTTTCAAGTTTTTTTTTTTGTTTTGGCAACATTTTTTTGCAATTTCTGAAGTTTTGGTAATATTTGGATATGATAGATAATTTTGTAGAATATTTTGACTTACAACGATCCGATTTAAAGGGAATTTTAATCATATTTAAAAAAAATGGCCACAAAAAGGACTTGCCAACAGAAATATTCTTCGTACATTTATCTGTACTATTGCTGAAGCCACTATATGCCTAAAACGCACGGATTTCAAGAAATCTCAATCCAATTTTTTTTAAAGTCTTGCGGACAGGGGTTTTTGGCCTCTCAATTTATGTTATTTTACGTAGTAAACTTTCAAATCACCGTTACACGTGTCTTTTTCTTTTAGCTCAACTTTCATAATTGCTGTCATTTCCCCGTAATTATTTTTTGTGTTGCACAGTGTGATCATGCATTTTTAAGGAATATTTTTCGAGGATTTTATCAGCCCTAATCCTGGATTAAAAATTTAAATGTTAAATTGTTAAATTTAAATTTTTGAAGGACTACTATAACAAAATAATAATGTCAAGTAAATGGTTTTAAGAAAATTTTTATGCGTGTATTCATTGAAATATCTATCAAAGTCATTGAAAAAATTTTATTCCAAAAGAATATAATTACATACTAAACGACATATTTCTATTTCCAAGAAGTATTTTAACGTATATTTTATTAATTATAATGAAATATTTGTGCATTATCTTGCTGTTTACCTGTGGTAGGTTTAAATCCGCGAAAAAATTAATTTTTCCTTATTTTTTACATTTTCCATGTATCAGTTTTGTGTAACGCCACAACGCCTTTGTATCTGAAGCGCATTAAACGAAATGCCACACAGGAGCAACATCGCCAGCAAATACCCAAGGATTTTGCAATAGTTCAAAATAAAAAGGATACGAAAGAGGGAAAGGAAAGTGCGGAGAAGACTTCAGGTATGGCAAAAAAATTGTGTGCATATGTTGGAAATGTATAAAAATTCTAAATTCTTTTCTCAGAGTCCAAGTCCTTGTATGACACGGTTTTGGCTTCGTTAACTGATAGTAAAACGCACAAACGCGATCAAGACATTTTGAATAAAAATCAATCGGCAAATTATTCTAAAATTGGATACTCTAAAAATAAGTCGAAGAATGATGACAATGTCAATATTATAAGCGCTCGTATTGTGCTTCCGTCTGAGCCAATTAATTCTGATTCATTGAATCCTTTCGATCAAATGATGCGCTATGCAAATGTGTGGTGGTACAATGCCGGATTGGGTATGTAAACATACTTTTTATATTTCCATATATTTAACAATAAATTACACTGTTACACAAAATGGGGGCTAAAAGTCTGGGGGTGGATAATTCCTTTAGAGGATGAAAGGATTTGGTTATATCGGATTCGATCCAAACACTCCTACACTCCTTCTTATACCTCTTCTACAAAAGGTCAAAATGTTCAAGGAAAAATAATTTACCTTAAAAAAAGAGAAAGGATCATTCGATTTTGCGCAAACCTTGCAAATCCTAATATTTTTGTCAGTGCTAGGTCAGATGCGAAAACGGACCTCCCCCAGAAATGGTAAAAATTTAGATAACAAAAACGATAATAAAAAACGAAATAAGAGTCCGATTGTCGTAAGTTTTAACACATCCCAATAATATAAGTACCACAAGAACTGAGGTGAAGATGACATATATCGGTCCTCTTCTCCTGGTACCACCTCCACAACGGCTCAAAATTTGGAGTTGCCATGTAGCTCGAAACGCTAAATAAGCATCCGATGCCTTTCACACTCGGCACATCTCAATATTTCAATCAATACAAGATCTGATGAGAGAATGGTAGATATGATTCACTCCTGCCCGTACCTTTCCCATAAAGGGACAAAATTGTGAATAGCAAAAACGCCAATAAAATGCGAAATACTCATCTGATTCTCTTCAAATTTATCAATATCTCAATATTTCTACTAACATAAGACCTGCTGTAAAGGCGGTATATATTTGTCCCTACCCCCTCTGGTACCTCCCCCACAGCGGGTAAAAATTTTGAATAACAATGAAGCTCGAGAAAACGCGAAATGGTTATACGATCCATTTGAAACTAGACTAGCACAAAATCTGGTGTGAACATGGAATATCTCGGACCACTTCTTCTGATATCTCCCCCACAAAGGAGTTAAGATTTAAGTAACAGATATCCTCATAAAATGGGAAACATGCATCCGATTCTCCTTTAATTTCACACATCTCAATATTTTTACTAAACACAAGATCTAGTGTAAAGGTAATGTCTATAGACCCATCCCTTGTGGTACCTCCCCCAACAAATGGGCCAAAATTTTGAATAATTATATATCTCAAAAAATGCGAAATAAGCATCTGATTACTCCTAAACTTCGCATATTCCAATAATAGGATCTGGTGTGAAGATGATAAATATCGGCCCCACCTCCTCTGGCCCCTCCCCCGCAAAAGGCCCACAATTTTGCAATACTTAAATCTTTTTCGCATAAAATTGGAAATAAATGTCGATTTTCTTTGAATACTTTATCAGTATAAGAGGAAGTGGAATGTTTCGGTCCTCTATACCTGGTACCCTCAGGCATATTTCAATATTTTCCAAAGATTATAATATAAAGTTAAGGAAGTGGTCGAAATAGGGTTAACTGTTTGAATAATCACAACGCGAGTCAAAATATTTAAATAGACCGACATTAGTTGAGGGTATATATTCGTCGGAAAATCCGACTGATACTTTTTAACTTGTTTCTGAAGCGTGTAGTACATCACCTGTCAATTTTTGAGCCGATTTTAAAATGATTACAGGCTTATTGATCTCTAAAATTGCCCTAAGAGTTTCTTAATTCCTATCACTTTCAGAAACCGATCCAGCTGAATTCTCTCAAGCCAATCACGAAGATCCCCCATCTCCACTCAAATCTGGTCAAACAAATATGGCAAGAAACTTAAATGTTATGACAAGCAATCAATTAAGATCTCTTTCGCGGGATGGTGCCTATGATCCAATGGGACTATTTGACAATACTCTTAATGAGGAAACCTTCTATTGCCCCATACATCACAATAAACCGATATTAGGAAACAATAGGCTGCATCATTTACAAGGTGCAAATGCTTTCCACAAAGACGATGGGGAAGGAGTCGTACAGGTTTGTTCCTGTCATTTCATCAAGAATTCCGATAACAAAAACTCCAAGGATCTCAAATAATTTTATATATTTTTTCAATAAATATTATATCTTATATTTATTTTTTATAAAACAATTGTCGTTCTCTTTTCACTTACCTTATCGAATGCCATGGGCCGCGACAGCTTCTCCAACGTTTGCTGTTGCGTTGCACCACTTCCACTCGATGTGCTTGACTGCAGCGTGGTCGAACTGCTGCTGCTACTGCCCGATGAATTACTCTGCAGCGATTGTGAGCCATGATGCGCCGGACCGCCATGATGTTTTATCAAGGCATGACCAATGGATGCACCACTGAACGCAGTGGCAGCTTGCGTCGTGGCCGAATAGGTTGTGGCCGTCGATGCGAAGGCCGGATTGGGGGTGACAGCTGTCGTGGGTATGGGTGTACCACCTTTGCCGCACAGACTGGCATCGGGACGTTCATGAAATGTCACCATCTGTTTTAGTACCAATTGACGATCTCTATCTGGCGGTACACCGCCAGGCGGCTCCATGGCCCCAGCACGTGGTTCGATGAGCGCCGTTGCCTTCGCCGCCCTGAGTGACCCAATGTGGCACTCGTTTTGTTGATTTTTTCTTCTCTTTCGTCTAAGGCAATTGGCGGGGCTTTCGGTAGGAGAAACGAGGCAAACGAAGTATGTTGTTCGTCAATTATAGTTTGTAGTTTTCTCTCTCTCTAAGAGATTTAAGTTAATTTATTTTGTTACTCTCAGATTTTGAAGAGGGTGGGAGTATCAAATCAATGCTTTGTAATAGTTTGTTTTAGATTTCCTTCTTTTTGTTGGATTAGTTGTTTCCGTTTGTGTTGTTTCTTTTCGGGGGGATTAAAGTAATGTTGTTTTTCTCTTTTTGTTTTTTTGCTTTTATTTTGAAGAAATAGTTGAGTTTGTTATTAAAAATGTTCTACTTCAAAGTTTTCTTTCTGCAAGCTTTGCTGCTTTATTTTCCTATTTTTGAAAGGCAAACACAATTCATTTCCATTAACCAAATTCCATCATGTCTTTGTGTATAAAAATTTTTGCTAAAAAGAAAAAAATGAAAGATTAGAATATAATAGTAATTTTCTGCGACTGAAATTGGTTGAAATTATATTTTTAAAATTTGGCGATTTTTGTTATTTCTTTGAATGGTAAAATTTCCTTGTGAAAAAACATAATTCAAAAAGAAAAATTAAAAAAAAGTCAAATAGCGGTAAGTTTGGCCTGGCCAAACTTTGAATACTCTCCACCATTTTGAACGAATTAGGACATTTTCAAACAATAAAAATAAAATCCATTAAAAATTCTGTTAAAATCTCGGAAGGGGCCGATATATGGGGGGATAAACGATATCGTGGACCTATATAGACAATTCTCTTTCAGGGGGTAAAATGCCCACAAAGAACTCCTCGTGTGGATTTTCAGACTATTCTATTAGAAAATGTGGCTAAAATCATCAAAATACAGAATATCGGGGGGTTCCGTTATATGGGGGCTATACGATATCGTGAACCTATATAGATAATTATCTGCCAAAAGATCAAAAGCTCCTAGAGAACTGCTTGTGTGGATTTTCATACAATTCCATTGAAAAATGTTGCTAAAATTATCAAAATACCGGATATCGGGGGTACCGTTATATGGGCGCTATACGATATCGTGGACCGATATAGCCCATCTTCGAACTTGACCTGCCTGCAGACAAAAGAGAGATCTGGGCAAAATTTTACCTTTCTATCTTAATTCGTTTAGCCTGTAGCGTGATTACAACAGACGGACGGACGGGCAGAGCTATATCGTCTTAGAATTTTACGCTGATCAAGAATATATATACTTTGTTGGGTCTAAAATGATTATTTCGATGAGTTACAAACGGAATGACGAGCTTAATATACCCTCCATACTATGTATGGTGGAGGGTATAAAAAGATTGATGATATAGTAGATCTCCCATAACAAAAAGCTACGAACCTTATTTGAATGAGTATCATGACTTTAGAGTAGTCACAATTTAGCATCTATATCCAAATCTGAATCGATTTTCAACAAATATGACAGAGGCTTTTGTACCTCTATCACAAATTAACATTAAAAAATATTTATTGGAGCAATACATATACCGAACCGAGTTTCACTAAATGCAAAAAATCGGTTGAATTTAAATAAATCTATCCAATTTGGGCTGATATTACATATATGGTGGACAATAACCGTAAAATCGGATGAAGATACATACCGAAGGTATATAAAAATCTGAACCGATCTCAATGAATTTTGGCGAAATTATTTTCGAGCAGTATCTGATGTCCGCTATCAAATATCATTGTGGTGGAGTTTATATGACCCATGTGAGGGACATCAAATCAGATGAAACATATATTTGGGAGCTATAGCTATATCTAAACCGATTTTCACCAAATTTGAAGTACTTGTTTCTAGAATGAGTTCTGCCGGAATTGCCAATATTCAGTTCATTTAGGCTGATAATAGCCATTTGGTGCACAATAACCTTAATATCGGATGAAGATATATATGAGAGCTATATTCAAATCTGAACCGATCTTGATAAAATGTAGTAGAGGTATTTCTGGGCCGTATCTGATATCTGGTACCAAAGATCAACATTGGGGAGTGCTTTTTACGAATGTGAGGGACTTTAAACCCCAAATCGGATGAAGCATACAAGGTGAGATAAAAAAAACTGCAACAAAGTTAAACGCCATATTTCTTACATTTTTTTTTTAATTTTATTGAATGAATGAAAAAAAATGTCGGAATAGCAAGTTTTAGAATAAGTTTAGATTTGTTGGAATTGGTCACCTTTGGCACGAATTATGGCCTTCAAACAGCCAATGAAACCTACACACGATGCCCGAATGTTGCTCTGCGGTATTTTGGACCCTTCCCGGCGAAGTGCTTGCTTGAGGTGATCGACACTTTGGTATTTTTTAGTGCCAACCTTGCTTTCCAAAATACTCCAGACACAATAGTCCAACGGATTGGTATCCGGAGATTTTGGTGGCCATTGTGCGCTGGAAATTAACAACTCTTGGGTGGCACGTGCTGAGTCCTGTTGGAATGTCCAAGGTCTGCGGCCAAAATGTTTGTGGGCCCAAGGATATAATACACCCACCGGTATATTTTCGCGATAATATTCGGCATTTATTCTGATGCCACGATCGATCAATACGAGCGGAGAGTGACCATATGCACATTTGCCGAATGGAATATTGCGGTATGGCTCACGAGCCAGTTTTCGGCCACAGCGACGCGGGTTTCGATCAAGACGCATTTTTACTTTTTGAACCATTTCTGCTGATGTTGCTGTTTTCTTCCGTCCACTTCCTTGACGTCGGGCTATGCTACCAGTATCACGGCAACGAGCGATGGTACGAGACACAAAAGATTTAATCACATTTAAATGCTGGAGTGCTCTAACGATAGCCACTTGTGATTTTCCAGCCAAATATAAAGAAATCACACTATCACGCTTAAATTCCATCACGAATAACTTTTTTTCTGGAAAATTCTCAACAAAATGCTTCTGGTCGCTTGTAAACAATATAATGAACTGTCACTGGAATATTTTTAACAGCTGTCGGACGAGTGTCTCAGAAATGAAGTTGGTTGCAGTTTTCTCATCTCACCCTGTATTTAGCTGTAAAATGGACCACATATTTCGTGTCAAATTGTTTTGAATACCTATCAACACGACGGAGGGCGTAAATATTAGGCAAATGCCCCCGGTCAAAAATATTTCAAAAACTTCCAGCATATGGTAGTTGTAGGGTATCACATGACCGACCCCGCACGTCTATAGCCTTTGCTTACTTGTTCATTTTTATACCCTCCACCTTGGAAAGGAGGGTATATTAACTTTGTCATTCCGTTTGTAACATCCTTAAATATTCGTCTTAGACCCCATAAAGTATATATATTCATAATCAGCATAAAATTCTAAGTCGATTTAACGATGTCCGTCTGTCTGTCTGTCTGTTTGTCTGTCCGTCTGTCTGTCTGTTGAAATCACGATACAGCCCACAATATTTGACGTAGAGCGCCAAAATTTAGCAGAGCTATTTGCATTGTGTCTAAGATGGTTGTTATTGAAAATGAGATATATCGGTCCACGTTCTGGTATAGTCCCCATATAACGGTACCTCCCGATATTCGGTATTTTGATGATTTATTCCACATTTTTTCACGGATTTGTCTGGAAATTGGTATTTGTAGGTCATAACGGCGTGTGGTAAAACATTGTATGTATAGGTCCACTTTGTGGTATAGCCCCCATATAAAGGTACCTCCCGATATTCGGTATTTTAGTTTTTTTTGCCACATTTTTTCACGGATTTGTCTAAAAATTGGGTCATAATGGTTTCCAGCTCCGGTGGCGAAACATTGCATGTATGTGTCCATGATTTGGTATAGCCCCCATATAACGGTACCTCCCGATATTCGGTAATTTGATGATTTTTGCAACATTTTTTCACGGATTTGTTTGAAAATTGGTATTTGTTGGTCATAATGGGTTCCAGCTCCGGTGGCGAAACATTGCATGTATGGTTCATGATTTGGTATAGCCCCCATATAACGGTACCTCCCGATATTCGGTAATTTGATGATTTTTGCCACATTTTTTTCACTGATTTGTCTAACATTGGTATTTGTGGGTCATAATGGGTCCTAGTTTGTGTGGCGAAACATTGTAATTATAGGTCCACGTTTTGGTGTGGCCCCCATATAACGGTACCTCCCGATATTCGGCATTTTAATGATTTTTGCCACATTTCTTCTAATGTTTCTTTTACCCTAAGTTGGAGGGTATTAAAAGTTAGGCCCGCCGAACTTAATGTTTTTTTTTTTTTTTCAAATTTCCAATTTCATTCCAAGTTGGTATTCCAAGCTCGGCCCAGCAGAGTTTACTGCTTTTTTATTTGTTTTTATTAAAATTATTTTTACCAGTTCTTCCTAGACAACAATTATATATTTTGTAAAAAATTTAAAAGCTTTCAAAAAGTCGCAAAATTAAAAAAAGTATTACAAATCTAAAAATAAATTCTTAAATAAAGATTTTTGACGAAAAGACCATGAGAATAAATCGTTCATAATTTAGAAATTTTGTCGAGAAAGACCTTGTAAAAATCGTTTTAAATAACTCTCTATTGACCCGGCAAGCCTTTAAAAATATTTAGTAAATCCAAAGTTCTGGCCTTTTCTTTTTTATGATTTTTTTTAAGAATATAATTTCAAGGACTTTTTTCTATAGAGCAATTGATGTATCTTGTCTACTTTTAAGGAAAATAAAAAATTATATTTGTTAAATATACATTTTTCATTACAATTTTTTATGGTTCTCCTGGTTATAAATCATATGATATAAAGATTTTTTAAGGTTACAAGGTTACAATTGTTTTTACTTACAATGTTTCATTTTCCCCCGTTCTGTCGGTTGCGTTTTTCGAATCCGTTCAGTTTTCTATTTTCTTCGCTGCCTTCTTGCGGTTATAATCCGATAATTCTAAGAGGTTGATGATCTTCACGTGTAAAGTAAATCTCTTTTTGTTGTTGTTGTTGTATAAATACGATTTATAGTTCTTGTTGTTGTTGTTGTAAATAAATCTGCAGTAAAACAGCTTTGATCGTTGTACTTGTTCACATTACAGTTATGATGATGTTGTTGTTGTTGTTGGTGGTGATGGTGCTGATGCAGGCCATTACCGTGGCATTCTTCTTCATCTATGATGTTGTTGTTGCTGTTTTTGTTTTTGTTGTTACCCGTACCGTTGTGGAACTCCTCGTGGAGCATTGGAACATTAGTTTGATGTTGTAGCAGATTCGAGATAATGGTTATAGACAGAGGAAGAGAGAGAGGTCTGTGGAGCTGGAGTTGATAGATAAAAGTGGGGGGAGTGGGTTGGGGGTAGGTAGGCTGTCGGAGAGCTTTAATGCCTTATTGAAACAATTTAGATTGTACGCAAAATGTTGAAGACAATTGGCCGTTGTGATTCACCACTGGCAGAAATGTGTCATCACTTGCCACCAATGATTGGAACTTAGAAGAGGAGGTGATTTGAACGATAGACTCAAGGACATTGTCGGCTGCCGTTCCGTAGGGAGTCACCGAGGCTATTACATAGTTGCCGTTGCCGTAACCACCAAGGCGTGGTTGAATGCAACCATTCAAGAGCTTTGAAAAAGTTCGGAAATTTTTTAGTTGTTTAGTTCCTTTGCCCTGCTGTTGGAAATTTTTACAACCTGGCTGGCGGTTTAGATGATGAACGTGCGGGCGGCGGTGGTGGTGGTGGTTTGGCTTTCGACTGCACTGCAATAAGGCCAATAAGTCTGCTCGGGCTTTGGTTTCCGGATATTGTTTTCTACTAGCTGCTGAATTACGTATGCACTGTGAAGGAGTTTTGAAGGGCGGCCCTTGAAGGCTACCAGCCATTATGCGTCATTACAAAAAGTTTTCGCCAATAAACACACAGTTTGTTGTTGCTGCTGTTGCTGTTATACTTTGCTTGTTTTTCCAAACAGCTATCCCAGCTAAATCAATCTGCAGCGCCGGCAATGGTTTGGAAAATGAAAAGTCTATAAATAAATAGAAGAAGAAAAAACAACAGAAACCGTCAGAGAGAGGGAAATTAGTTTTCTTATTTTTCCGTTATCACAAGAAAGTTAATTTAAAGCCTTGAGGCCATCAATAAATAGATTGGCTAAAATGGCTAACCATAAATATTGATTGAGAGATGTGGGTGTTTAGATGTTTCGCTGCCATTTTCCCTTGTCATAAATAAACGAAGGTAGGCAGTTATTTTCTCAAAGTTGGTAAATAAGTTTTATCGTGCGGGATGATATGATTCGAATGAAGGTTGCGAAAAAAACGCTTATCTGAAGTGGAAAAAATAAACTGATTTGGCTTTGCTCTATTTTCCTTGAGAAGTGTTTTTATACCCTCAGCAATATGGCTAACCGGGGTATATATCGTTTAATACGGCCAAAAAGTGCCTCATCAAAAAAAGGTTTTTAGACCCTTGGTCTCTTTGGCCAAATTTCGTTTCAGGATATTTGGAGTTGATATAGCGATTTCCGTCCGTCCGATTGTCTGTCTGACTGGTGCGCACGATAACTCTCCGATTTAATCCAAACTTGGAAAATCGTAATAATATTATCGAACTTAGATGGGCAATATCGGTCCACACCTTCTGGTAACCTCTCAACAAAATCCTAAAAAATGCTGCACAGAAAGATAAAGGATAATCTGATTTTGCTCCAACTTTGTGAATCCTAATATTTCCGTCAGTGCTACGTCACGTTCAAAAATGGACAATATTGGCCCGCTCCATCAAGTATCTCCCCCCAAAGGGTCAGAATTTTAAAAAATTATAACTCCTATAAAAAGGGATGTAAGGATCCGACTCCCTTCAACTCATACACATTTTATTAACCCAAGGTCTGGTATGAAGATGGAATATATCGGTCGCCTCCTTCTGATGCCTGCCCCACAAAAGTGTCAATATCTGAAGCTCATAAAACACGAAATTAACATCCGATTCCATTCAGACTTGGCACATCTCAATATTTTCATAAACACAAGATCTGTTGTAAATATTGCAGAGATCGGACTATTTTTTTTGGTACATCCCCCACAAAGGGTCAAAGTTTGGAATAACCAAATCCAAAATAAGAATCCGGCTCTCTTCATATTTCACACATCCGATTAGTTCTACTAACATAACATCTGCTCTGAAGATGGGATATATCAGTCCATTTCTTCGTGTACCTCCCCCACAAAGGGTTAAAAATTTGAATATTCATGAAGTTCATAAAACGCAAAATAAAATCCGATTCCATTCAGACTTGACACATATTTCCATGAACACAAGAACCGTTATAACCGTACCTCCCCCACAAAGGATCAATGCATTGAATAACCAGAACGATCATAAATTCCGAAATAAGCATTCAGTTCTCTTCATATTTCATTACAAATTTATAAAGATGGAAGAAATCGGCCCCCTCCTTCTGACACCTACCCCACAAAGGCTCAAAATTTTGAATATCCGTGAAGCTTATAAAACGCGAAATTAACATCCAATTACTTTCAGATTTGGTACATCGCAATATTTCCATTAACACATGATCTCTTATTAAGATAGTAGATCTCGGACCATTCCTTCTGATACCTCCCCCACAATGGGTCAGAATTAAAAAAAAAAACCAAAACGATCATAAAATCCGAAATAAACACCTGGTTCTCTTCATATTTCACACGTCCCATTATTCCTTTTAACACAAGATCTGAAGATGGGATATACCGGCCCACTCCTTCTGATACCTCCCCCACAAAGAGTCAAAATTTTGAATGACCATGAAGCTCATAATAGGCGAAATTAACATCCGAACATTGTCTCAGGGTATACATCTGCCGGCAAAACCGACTGATACTTTTTATACCCTACACCACAAGGTGGTCAGGGTATTATGTCTTTGTGCATTTGTTTGTGACAGGCAAAAGGAAACGAGATAGACCTATAGTTCCTTTTGATGATCAGCATAGAATCACATTCTGCGTCGATTTATGCATGTCCGTCCGTCTGTCCATGTATTTTTGTAAACAAAATACAGTTCGCATTTATTGCCCTATCCAGATGAAATTTTGCACAAATCATTTGTTTGGCCAAAGGACGAACCCTAAAAAATTGGAGATAATTTAAATATAGCTCCCATATATATCTTCGTCCGATTTGCCTTTTATTGTGCACCAAACGTGTAATATCAGTCCGAATAGTATGGAATTTCGCACAAATTAGGCCTGAAAATAAGTATGCCAAATGTAATCGAAATCGGTTCAGATATAGCTATAGCTCCCATATATATTGTTCATCCGATTTGTTATTTTTGTCCTCCACAGCCGTAATATCCACTCTGTAACAACAATATTTGGGGAAATTTATCAAATACAGCTCAGAAATATATTTGCTAAAGTTTATCGAGATCGGTTCAGATTTGGATATAGCTCCCATATACATATCTTCGTCCGATTTGCTTTGGATTGTGCACCAAACTTCTAATATTTGCTCAAATTGGATGAAATTTGGCGTTTACGACCGAATTGAAGCTAGAAGCTAGTATGTCAAATTTGGAGATCGGTTCAGATATAGCTATAGCTCCCATATATATGTAATGTTCATCCGATTTGTTACATTTGTTACCCACAGCCGTAATATGCACTCCGTAACAACGATATTCAGGGAAATATATCAAATACAGCTCAGAAATATCTTTGCCAAATTTTATCGAGATCGGCTCCGATTTGGATATAGCTTTAGATTTGTGCACCAAATGGGCAATACAAGTCCGAATTCAAAAGATACAAATGCTTCGGCATATTTAGTCCTTTGAACATTAAATTATTCTTAGAATCACAGCGTGTATGATTGAATTTTCCCATAAAACTTTTAAATGTTATGCGCAGCTCTACTAAATTAGCAAAGTGGTGTAGGGTATCATAAAGTCGGCCCCGCCCGACTTTAAGACTTTCTTTACTGGTTTAACTTGCTTTTTTTATCGTAGATCACACTTTAAATTGTTTCAGGTATTTGCGACGAATATATTATTTGTCGGTGTATTGAAAAATCACTACCAATCTCCAAATTCTAAATCCATATTTTCGAAATTCTTTAGAAATCACAATTCCAATTTTATTACTTTTCTCTTCTTCGCTGCTGCATAAAAAAAAAAAAAAACTTAAGAAAATATTGAATACAATTCTCCCTCACTCACAAATTCATGCTTCATAAATTTTTGCGAAACGGAAAACAGATAAAGAAGCACTAAAACACAATAAAGCAAATTAAATAATCATAAGAAGGGGGAACAAAAAAGCACGATTTATGTTCAGAGTATTGCGCCAGTGAACCATAGCCGATGTTTTATAGAACCGAAACGTAGACACTTAAATTGAATTCACTGAACTATAGAATTTTTATGAAGCTTCAAGTGGCTCAAATGTGACTAATTGTTGTAGCGAAACGAGATTTTGTTCTGCGAAAAGAAAACATGTCATAGCAATGCTTTGTTTTTTTGTTTATGATCTGGGAATGTTACATTTTATGACTCTGAGATAATGTTTGAGGGGGTATGGAAAAAATAAGGTTGGAATGGAAATAAATTAAATGTGGGCGAATGTGAGTTAAATTCCAAATACCCAAGTGTTGTTATACCCTACAACACAATGTGTTGGGGGTATTATAAGTTAGATTGGGCCAAAAATTATGTAACACCTCGAAATATTGGTTTCCCACATAGGAAAGTATATATGGATCTTCCTATTTCGCCGAGCTGAGTCGATCTAGCTATGTATGTCCGTCCGTCCGTCCATCCGTCTGTCCATGTTAATTTGTAATCACTCTATAGGTCGCAATTATGGCCCGATCCGCACGAAATTTAGAATGGAGGTCGGGCTAGAGCCAGAAAAGAACCATATTTCTTTTGGAGATGATCGCATAATATTTAGGGATTGAAATGGACCAAAGACTGAAAAATTTCCTGATATTGCAGTGGCTTTTTAGGACGCAATTATTTCAAAATGGATTTGGACATAAGGGGGCTTCTAACATTGTAGTGTTGTAGGGTATCACCACCAAATCGGATAAAACATCTATGTAGGAGATATCTGAACCGATTTTCTTCAAATTCGAAGTACTTGTTTTTTTGGATGAATTCAGTCAGAATTGCCCAAAATTCAAGTCAATTGGACTGATACTGATATTTGGTGCATAATTAACCTGAAGAACATTTTCCAAGGACTATCTGAGCCACAAACGTGGATTTTTTAAATAATATTTTTTAAGGACTATCTGAGCCACAAACTTCGATTTTTTAAAGAATATTTTAAAAGGACTATCTTAGCCACAAATCTGGATTTTTTAAAGAGTACTTTTTAAAGACTTTCTGAGCCACAAACGTGGATTTTTTAAAGAATATTTTTTAAGGACTTTCTAAGCCACAAACGAGGATTTTTTAAAGAATATTTTTTAAGGAATATCTGAGCCACAAACGTGGATTTTTTAAGGAATATATTTTAAGGAATATCTAAGCCACAAACGTGGATTTTTTAAAGAATATTTTTAAGGACTATTTGAACCACAAACGTGGATTTTTTAAAGAATATTTTTTGATGACTTTCTGAGCCACAAACGTGGATTTTTTTAAATAATATTTTTTAAGGACCACAAACTTGAATTTTTTAAAGAATAGTTTTTAACGACTTTTTTCTGAGCCACAAACGTGGATTTTTTAAAGAATATTTTTCAAGGACTATCTGAGCCACAAACGTGGATTTTTTAAAGAATATTTTTTTAAGGACTATCTGAGCCACAAACGTGGATTTTTTAAAGAATATTTTTAAGGACTATCTGAGCCTCAAACGTGGATTTTTTAAAGAATATTTTTTAAGAACTATCTGAGCCATAAACGTGGATTTTTTAGAGAATATTTTTCAAGGACTATCTGCCACAAACGTGGATTTTTTAGAGAATATTTTTTAAGAACTATCTGAGCCACAAACGTGGATTTTTAAAAGAATA